TATTATGATTAAGGTGTTTACATGAGTTGCTTTTAGAATACTCCTTTCATGTTCCCGTTTTACATGTTAAAGGCTAGTTCATAGTTCGATTAATGGCACACGTCATTACGTCCCCACACAACGCCATCCGACGTCCCCGTCTTCGTCTTCGTGATGATGTCATGTACAAGTTTCATTTTTAACTTTATGAAAGCTTCAATTGCAGTAAATTATTTCTATGTGCATACAGACGATGGCGGTGTTGAAGCTCTTTTATTTGCCGTCAAATGGTTGACCACTGTGTGTGTGTCCTGTCGTAAAATACAGCGAAAAGTCCTTCACGACGGTAATAATGTGATTACATATCTATACTGCACTTCAGTAATGTGGCGGCGACTAGCGGGTGGAATGAGGTGGCCCTAATTAGCTCTTACCGGCAAGGATTGAATTCCCATGTACAAGCTCAAATGGCTATCTATGATGACTCCGTTGGACTGGAAAGTTTCATGCAAAAGGCCAACCGTATTTCCCAGCGTCTGTCCGCCTGCCACGCCACCGAAGCCGCCCACCAGTCTGTCACGCCCGGCACGGGTTCCCCAGTACCAGAGCCGATGCAAGTGGACACCTCCCGGCTCCCCCCGTCGGAACGTGCTCGCCGTCTCGCGGCCGGTCTGTGTCTATACTGCGGTGCGGAGGATCATTACATCAGGACCTGTCTCTTACTCATAAGATGCGCGTTAAATATCGCATGCGATTTATCGTGCAGCCCTAGCCAAAACACACATTAGACGGCTTTAAACACTCGATGGTGGTTTAAAGTGAGTTTTGAGTAAAAGCGGAATATGAATCTTATTTATTGTCTTATATGCTACAGTGTGCATGAATGGTCACGGATCGTTTTCATTTTAAAACAGAAATGCACCAGTGTAATTGTAACCTTACATCTAAGGGGGCTGTAACGCATTCACACTACAGCCTCACGTGTGAGCCACATCTCTGACTGTAAAGCCCGATTTATACTTCTGCGTCGAGCCTACGCATAAAGGCTTATTTATACTTCTGCGTCGAACCTACGCCGTAGCCTACGCATAAAGGCTTATTTATACTTCTGCGTCGAACCTACGCTGTAGCCTACGCATAAAGGCTTATTTATACTTCTGCGTCGAACCTACGCCGTTGCTTACGCATAGATGCACAACCTATGTCGTAGCCTGACATGCACCTCTCCAAAAACCTAACAGCGCGTCAATTCTACGCGGACCGCAAGCTCTGTGATTGGTCTGCTAGAACCCCTCCCTCCGTATGTACTTGAGGTTTGTGTGCTTTTATGTGCACTTATATATTTTAATGTTACACCTTCTTATATAAAATAAAACAAAGCAAAGAACAAGTGTCTTATCGTTTATTATACTAGCATAAGTAGTTGTCCGTGACAAACAGTGTTGATTTGCCGTGGTACAAGTCCTTGTGGAAACTGAAAGAATGCCATCTTATCCTGTTCCTTTGTTGTCTCCTTTTTGTAGTTTTAAAAAATTATTTAATGATCTGATATTTATTTGCCACCGTCACAGCTATAATGCTTCTCCGACGAGCCGCTTCTTCTTCGTGGTACTGCGGGTTACACCAGCAACATGCCTGTGGACACTGCAGACTAGCGGTTTGCATGTGTACTGCACGTCGACGCAGAAGTATAAATGAAAACTGACGCATAGCCTACGGCGTAGGTCCAGCATTAAAGCGTGATTTATACTTTCGCCTGGCTCCGCTCCTCGAGCCTCCGCTGACTGCGCACGCACCTTTCCAAACGTACGAGGCTTTTATACTTGTCGCGTTCGCCGTTGTACTATTCTTTGAAATGACAGGGGGCGACGAGGAGTAATTGTCCTCTATTTATACTTCTGCGTCGAACCTACGCCGTTGCTTACGCATAGATGCACAACCTATGTCGTAGCCTGACATGCACCTCTCCAAAAACCTAACAGCGCGTCAATTCTACGCGGACCGCAAGCTCTGTGATTGGTCTGCTAGAACCCCTCCCTCCGTATGTACTTGAGGTTTGTGTGCTTTTATGTGCACTTATATATTTTAATGTTACACCTTCTTATATAAAATAAAACAAAGCAAAGAACAAGTGTCTTATCGTTTATTATACTAGCATAAGTAGTTGTCCGTGACAAACAGTGTTGATTTGCCGTGGTACAAGTCCTTGTGGAAACTGAAAGAATGCCATCTTATCCTGTTCCTTTGTTGTCTCCTTTTTGTAGTTTTAAAAAATTATTTAATGATCTGATATTTATTTGCCACCGTCACAGCTATAATGCTTCTCCGACGAGCCGCTTCTTCTTCGTGGTACTGCGGGTTACACCAGCAACATGCCTGTGGACACTGCAGACTAGCGGTTTGCATGTGTACTGCACGTCGACGCAGAAGTATAAATGAAAACTGACGCATAGCCTACGGCGTAGGTCCAGCATTAAAGCGTGATTTATACTTTCGCCTGGCTCCGCTCCTCGAGCCTCCGCTGACTGCGCACGCACCTTTCCAAACGTACGAGGCTTTTATACTTGTCGCGTTCGCCGTTGTACTATTCTTTGAAATGACAGGGGGCGACGAGGAGTAATTGTCCTCTAAAACCATCGGGAATCACCGGTGAGAAGAAGTCATTTGCTGGTACAAGACTTCTCGCGTGATGAATTAATAATTTCTTTATGTACAAACTGATTAAAATAATCTTAAACTTTTGGGTTTATTTCGCATCAAACACAAGACAACTTTAATCAAATAGTGTATAAATGTTAACACTTTACAATAAGGGTACATGAATAATCATGTACTAATGCCTAAATTAATACTTAGTTCATCAAAACTGATGATTATTAAAGTAGTTAACTAATCATGAATTAATGAAGAGCTATCCTTAACTACAACTGGAGTCATATGGATTCACGCATAATTAACGGCAGCCTTAACTACATGTTAGTACATGTTTGATAGTTAATGCATTAGTTAATATGTATGGGTAAACTAAATCAAACAGCCTCTTTAAAAAATAACAAGAAATACTCTGGCTTTAAAATAAATAAAAATAATTTAATATCATAATTTGAGCTTTTGGCATCTTTAGCTTTATGATTGATCTTATCTGTTTTGTGGTGTTCTCTTTCCCTTTAATCTCACCCTGCTGTGATTAATAAACAGCTAAATAAAAATAAAACCTCAACATCCACAAAGAACATTTGTAGAACGCTCCTGAAGAAATGCCCGGAAAAAGTTCACTGTCCATCCAGACACAGGCCGTGATGATACTGTTACTGTACCTCCGCTTTCTGACTTCTTGAAAATCCACACTCCATCTCTTAACCGGACTGAATACTTGCTGTGCTAGTACATGTGTATTTGATAGTTGTCAGACTCTGTTTCTGTCTTGTGTGTGTTTTGCGCCCCATGTGCCTTCCTTGCCCTTATTTGGTTATCTTCCTGTTCATGCTTCCTGATTGTTTCTAATTTGAGTCCAGGTGTTCCCTGTTTAGTTTATATTGTTCCCAGGTGTGTCCCATTAGTTTATGTGCATTTAAACCCTGTGTTTCCCAGTGTTTCCCCGTCTGCTGTTAAACATCATTCATCTGTTCCTGTGTTGGTATCCCTTTGTTTGTTTAATTAAATCCCAGTTGAAGTATCCTCCTGTGTCTCCTCGTTCCTCCCCGAGTGTATCGTGACAATAGTAAGTGTAAAATAAATCATGAGCTGAGTTTTAGTAGGTAGTTAACAGTGAATTAATTATGATTGGGCCCCCTCAAGTAAAGTCATGTCAAAATAATGCATTAACAAGCCATGAGTTGATGTTAGTGTATGGGTAGTTAATAATGAGTTAATTATTGTGGGCCCTCTCAAGTAAAGTCATGTCAAAATAATGCATTAACAAACATGACTTGATGTTAGTTTATGGGTAATTAATAATGAGTTAGTTATGATGGGCCCCTCAAAAAATAAAAAACTCATGACACACTGATGCATTAACAAATCATCAAATAAAAACCATTCAACATGCTGTAAGGGTCATCTTTATTCCTTTTCACCACCAGTACAACAATAAAGGTTTTCAAACACCATAAAATTAAGTTTCAGATTAAAATTAATTACTAACAAAAAAAAGACATTTGTTAAATACACGCTGATGTTTCTGAGTTTGTTAAATATACTGGTGTCTAAGGAAAGTGGCAACAATAATCATTTTAATTAAAATCTGACTATGTGTTGTATTCATATAAAATAGAATAGTCGAGTGTCCTGGTGCATCCCATAAACCTTGAGTTCCCATAAACATTCCCTCTTATCTCTTATTCATACAGACAAAACAGTTAATGAAACTTCACAATGATAAGATTAAACAATGAAAATACACAAGCAATGAAGATAATAAATATAAAAACATCATAAAATAATAAATGCATAAATGATCAAATAATAAAATATAATGGTAAATCATAAAAAAAATCTAACCGTGCATTACATAAATGACTAATTTTAAATGATTATATGAAAAGATGATTATATATTAATAAAAATGGTCGCTCTCTTGATGCAACATACAGTTTGTATTTGAGGATCCTCAGATCCTTCATGTTGTTGATCAAACATATTTAATAGTTCTCCCTATAGAAACATGAGGTTTGTGCCTATAATATTTAAAAAATAATAATTTGAAGATCAATGTACCTCATTCATGGAAAGTTTCAGGGAAGTGTAATTTATAAAATTGCATTAATTTTGTAATGCAATTGTCTACTTTCCGCTTTTAAATTGTATGTCCTTTCACTTTTCTGTTTTTTTTTTTTCTTGTTTTCTTTTACGAATTACTGAAAATGCACTTTTTTGCATGCACTGTTTTACTTTTATTTCAGAGTTGATTGAAGATGAGGAGAAAGAAGAATTGAATGAATTTAAGGAGAAAAATCATGTCAGAAGTGGAGAAAAACCCAAACAGAAAGATTTTTAAAAAAAAAAGAAGGGCCAAGAAATCTTTCACCTGCACTCAGTGTGGAAAGAGTTTGACAAACAAATATAATCGTGATATTCACATGAGAGTTCATACTGGAGAGAAACCATTCACATGTGATCAGTGCGGGAAGAGTTTCTTACACTCATCACACCTCAAAGATCACATGAACATCCACACTAAAGAGAAACTGTACACATGTGATCAATGCGACAAAACATTTTTGAGGGCTTCAGTCCTGAGGTCACACCTGAAAGTTCATACAAAGGAGAAGCCACATTCATGTCATTTGTGTGGAAAGAGCTTTTCACATCTACAAAGTTTGAAAGAACATCAGAAAATACATACTGGTGTGAGAGAGTACATGTGCTTTGAGTGTGAGAAGACTTTTACTTCAGCGAGCCATTTAAAACTGCATGAGAGGATCCACACTGGAGAGAAACCTTACAAGTGTTCACACTGTGACAAGAGATTCAGTAATTCATCAAGTCGGAAAACCCATGAGAGGATTCACACTGGAGAGAAACCTTACAAGTGTTCACGTTGTGACAAGAGATTCAGTCGGTCAGCACATTTAAAAACACATGAGAGTTCATACCAGAGAGAAACCATTCACTTGTGATCGGTGCGGGAAGAATTTCGCACAATCAGAAAACCTTAAGAGACACATGAAGATCCACACTGGAGGGAAACTGTACGCATGTGATCAATGCAGCAAAGCATTACTGTGGGCTTCAGAACTGAAGCAGCACCTGAGAGTTCATACAAAGGAGAAGCCACATTCATGCCATTTGTGTGGAAAGAGTTTTTCATTACTAAAAAGTTTGAAAATACATCAGAAAATACATACTGGTGTGAGAGAGTACATGTGCTTTGAGTGTGAAAAGACTTTTATTTTAGCTGAACATTTGAAACAACACCAGAAGATTCACACTGGAGAGAAACCGTACAAGTGTTCACACTGTGACAAGAGATTCAGTAATTCAGGACATCTGAAAACACATGAGAGGATCCACACTGGAGAGAAACCATACAAGTGTTCATACTGTGACAAGAGATTCAGTCGGTCAGCAACTCTGAAAACACATGAGAGGATTCACATTGGAGAGAAACCTTATATGTGTTCACACTGTGACAAGCGATTCAATCATTCAGGACATCTGAAAACACATGAGAGGATCCACACTGGAGAGAAACCGTATCACTGCACTGCATGTGGGAAGTGTTTCAATAATTCATCTGCTCTACGCACACATACAAAAAATATTCACAGTAAGTAGATCATCTCAGATCCAGCACTTTCAGATCTGATGCTGTGTCCTCCCCAAATGTGACAAAATAATGTATCAAGCAATAAAATATCATCTAGATAAATCTATCATTACAAGCGACATGACAAAGAAACATTATCTTAAGTTTTCAGTGAATAAAGTTCATCTTCAAAACCAGAAGATTTGTAGCGTATGGACCAATCAGACACCCAATTATTTGTTATATTTAACAAATAATCCTGAACACCTACTCACCCAACCAAAAAGTCAACTATGAGGGTCTATGGACCCTTCCCCCAAAATGCAGCTAAAGGCCCCGATATACTTCAAACGAAATCGAAGAACGAACTGAAATGACGTCATTTCGAACAAAATCTGGCCGAAACGAGGTTCGTTTTGAGTTCGTTTTGGCAGTTCGAAACAGCTCACCAAAGCGAACTTTTTGGGGGAGTTCGTTTTGGCTCCTAAACACCTTTGAGCTTCCATTGGTCCGTGACGATTACGCAGTCGGTGGGTGTGTTCTGGAACTCCACCTTCTTTGATGTGCGATTTTTTATTTTTTTCCCCGGTTCGTTTCTCTTTCCACTGAGGTCAGACAGGAGAACAAGTTAGCAACATGAATACACTGGAGGGTCGAGTAGCAGAGCTGATACTGATGTATCCGCACCTGTACGATCGCTCGCGGAGAGTTTTTAAAGACTCGGAGAAGGCTTTTAATTACTGGAAAGAAATTGCAACGAAGCTTGATGTCGGCGACCCGGAGTTATGCAAAGCGATGTAGAGAAACATCAGAGACAAGTTTTCCAAATCAATGAAAGGAAAGAGTGGAGATGAAGCAGCGAGTACCAAAGTACCCAGGCTATTTTTGGAGATGTCATGGCTCAGACCTTTTGTCCGGCACCGACAAACTGTGTCCAACATTCCATGTTTTGAAAAGGTAAACTACACGCTATTCAATTGGTGATATGTTTGTGCTGCAAGTTCGTTTGTAGTTAGCAAATTGTAGTATTTATATTTTGAACAGACTATTTTTTTAATTAAACTAGTTTATTGATTGACCTCAGTTATTTTCTTTATAAAACATTGGCGATTGTCATCTACATGAGTTATATATCTGCAAAAAAATCCACACTTGTTGGTGCTTGTGTAACGCAGTGCTCATTTTGTCTGATTTACTTTCATTAAAACGTTATTCTTCTATGTACTGTAGGTTGAAAGTGATGACTCTCTAAAAAAAAGTGGTGGCTGATGAATCGTCTCCATCCACAGCCATAGGCGTAATTTGCGGGTGGTGCAAGCACTGTCACCGGCAGCAAGTTTAGTTTTACGTTTCTTTTTTTGTTTTCATTTTGAAAAGCTTATCTTTGCTGTTTACCCCACGTTATGCTATGGAGGCTCAGTTTTTTTTTATTTTTTATTCCTCAGTGTTTGCTAAACGTTCTGTAATTTATTAGTCATTATATAGCCTAATACAGCGTGTAGGCCTATGCCATGCCTCAGCTTATTCGTTTTTGTTAATAACGTTTGCGTTCAAAATTCTCTGGCGCCGCCCCTGGTACATCGATGTATTTTTGAAAAGCAAAAATTAAGTTTGTCCAACTCTAAACCCAGTCCCCAAGTAAATTAGGTTATTAAATAAAAAAACTAGCAAAACGAGTTGCGCGGTGTGCCCACCACTTTTCAAAGCAAAGTTACGCCACTGTCCACAGCCCCACTGTCATCATCATCTGATCCCACCAGTGACAGTAAGGAAGATGAGCAGTGCTCAACCATTACCCTGGATGACTTTGGCACTTCAGTACTGCCGAGGTCAAGTACTCCATGCAATGCTGCTATAAATTCAATGATGCAGCCATCTCCATCTTCACCCCTTTCTGTGCCATGCAACAAAAGGAAAAGGAGAAGGGACAGTGCAGATGATGGCATTGGACATCTACTTACTTTCCTTGAGAAAGACAAAACAGACAGTTTTGATAGGCACGCACAGATTGTTGCAGATTTCATGCGCAAACTAACACTGTGCCGTCTTCAAAAAACGTATACAAGACATTATGTTTGATACTAGATGCAGCTACTGGATGAGCAAGACAATGGCACAACACATTAGAAGCTGTTTATTTTTTGTAAGCTCTCTTGTGTAAAAAATTGTGGATTTGGTGTTTCAAATAAATGTTCTTACACCACACTGCTGCAGCTGTTGTTTTTCAATAAGGCAATTTAAAAGTTGCAATAAATGAAGTGCCAAAAGAACATGCAATATAAAACTTTTGGTTTTATCAAAATTACATCATGACACCACACAAAGTAAAAAATATCTTTAAATATAATAACTTACCCAGTTTAATAAATAAAATGAGCAATATTAAAGTAACAAACCGGTTTGTGTTACTGAGATGAGTCCAACAATTTGTTGTTGTTTTTCACATCATGCTAAATTTTTCAGACTATGAGCCATTCACACTTCTCATAGAGGACTGGTTATGGAAATATAATGATTCTTTTGTATTGCAAACATGATACTTAACTTTAAACTGCTGCTAATCATTATTCTTTTCTCTGTACCAAATTGACCATTGGTACCCGTTTCACACCTAGATACACTTCATCATTGCGCTTCATCATGCAAATAAATAAGGTCGAATAAACTCAGATCAGAAACATTATGTTATGTATTTTTACTGAAAATATATATCAGTATTATATTATGCCTATATAATCAATATATACGGGCATATAATAGGCATATTATATTGATTTGATATTCTAAAAGGCAGATCATTATAGTAAGTTAAATGTTTATGTAAATAATAGGCTTGATGTAAATAATAAGCTACGTGTTAATGCTTTTACTAATCGTATGTGTATTCAATGGAATGAAAACAGCCACATACTCATTGGTAACACACAAAGCTCAATTTTATTGTCACATTAGCTGTACATTTGTTATATACTGTACTTGTATTCTCATGTAGGGATTGAACAGGTAAGTCAGCTGCTCAGTTGGGCAAGGGCCCATCACGCAGTCCACGTGAAACAACACAATTTTGCCAGGGAACAGAACCCTCCAGTGTTTAGAAAAAGTCTCTCAGGGCATTCCTGGTTGCAGTAGCAGCTTGTGTTCTGACAGAACGGGTAGGTCTGCCGAAAGTGACCAAGTTACTTTCAGCCTCTGTCATTCCCCTCCAATCGCCAGGTCGAACCTCACCAGTTGGCGTAGTGACATCAGCCAGGTTTGGTGTGATGTACCTGGCTTTTCCTGCTGATGCAACATCTGTTGATATCAGGTAGTTGTGTAGGGCCACGCAAGCTTGAACAATACTCACTGCCTTTCCAACAGAACTCTCGATGGGGCGACCAAGAATTCGGAACCGAGATGCCATAATGCCAAAGGCATTCTCTATTATGCGACGTGCTCGGCAGTGTCTGTAGTTGTACACCCTCTGTGCAGATGTGAGATTCTTCCCTGCTATTAATAGAAAACAATAGGTTCAGTTAGACAATAAACTACATATACTGACATAACAGTATTATCATTATTATTATCTGATAATGATCTGTGCTGGTAATAACAATATTAAGTAATAAAAACGTAATATGAAAACACTTTGGTTAAAATACCTGGATATGGTCGCATCAGGTTCACATTCAGGCGGAAAGCAGCATCTCCAACTATGACATGAGGACACAGTTTCTGTCCCAGGTAGGGCTTTTGGTCTGGGCAAATCCAGCTGTCCTTGCAACAATGCCCTTCCAAAAGAGCTCTCTTGAAAGACACCTCCGTCACTTTCACAGCCATAAGCACCAATGTCCACCATAGTGAACTTGTATTATGCGTCGCACACAGCTAGAAGCACAATCGAATGTGTCCTTTTATAATTAAAATACAGACTCCCGCTCTGTGCTGGCGCTCTCACCAAGACATGTTTTCCATCAATGGCTCCGATGCAGTTCGGAAAATTCCACAGCCTCCAAAAGTCCGTCGCGATGGTTTCCCATTTCGTTTGTGAGGGTGCAGAGATGAACTCATCTTTGAGAGCTAGCCAAGTGGCCTCGCACATCTCCGCGACTATCTTGTGGGCTGTGCACGGTCCAATCTTGAATGTTTCAGCCACACTTTGTTGCGTGGCCCCACAAGCTAGTACTCGGAGTGTCAAGGCCAGTCTCTACATAGTGGAAACCAGTGTCCTGTGCGTTTTTGCATGTTTCACATATGGCGATACCCTTTTCAAGAGATCTTCAAACCGTGGAAGTTGAGGGAAAAAATCACTTCAGAACTGGAAAAAAACCTTTGAGTTGCTCTCAAACTCTGAAAGTTTTAAAGAAAAGAAGAGCCAAGAAATCTTTCACATGCACTCAGTGTGGAAAGATATTGACAAGCAAATATGATTTTGATGTTCACGTGAGAGTTCATACTGGAGAGAAGCCGTTCTCTTGTGATCAATGTGGAAAGAGTTTCACACAATCATCAAGCCTTAAGGATCACATGAACATCCACACTGGAGAGAAACTGTACACTTGTGATCAATGCGGCAAAACATTTTTGTTGGCTTCAGTTCTGAAGCAGCACCTGAGAGTTCATACAAAGGAGAAACCCACACTGGAGAGAAACCTTATAAGTGTTCACACTGTGACAAGAGATTCATTCAGTCAGGAAATCTTAAAATACATGAGAGGATCCACACTGGAGAGAAACCTTACACATGTAATCAGTGTGGGAAGAATTTCAGACAAAAACGAGACCTTACGGCACACATGAGAGTTCATACTGGAGAGAAACCATTCTCTTGCGATCAGTGTGGAAAGAGTTTTTCACACTCAGCACACCTTAAGGGCCA